GACGGAAGGCCGAAAGTAATTTTAAGCGAAAAAAACATTATTTACGACGTCAAACTTCCCGATAAAAAATGCTTGGCCTAGATGAGATTCATTCGCAGTCGTAATGGGAAGACAGGATCGAGTCTGTGAGATTGCTCTATCCGTATGGCCAGCCTTAGGATTGTTGTCACCGACACAGACACGTGGCAGCATTTTCAAGGCTATACGGGTGGATCTATTTGGGGGTGGTATACGCGAGACAACAGGCACGCTAGAACGCCTGCACGCACGCACGTACGTAGAAACGCACGCACGTAAGAACGCATGAAAGCATAAACGCACGCCCGAAGCAACCCAAGCATGTAAGAACGCACATCCGAAGAAACGCATGCATGTAAGAACGCACGTACGCACGCACGTATACGCACAAACGAACACGCGCACGCACGTAAGAACGCACGCAAGTATAGTAACGAACGTGTATATACACACACGCAGAGACTTATAGGTATAAATGAATACTGCTGAATTTTACGAAAATTTCCCATAATTATTTTGGATTATACGTTTGTATATGTTCCCGTCCATTGCTATACTTGCTTGCATGCGTCCCGATCCCTATACATATAAGTTACGAGCACCTAGCAATCGTTGCCGTGCTATGTGTGTTGTTTTGTTGTTAATTGGTTAATCTGAGAGGATTCCTGTATGCCGGAGGCACGCATATACCCACGCGCGCACACGCACACGCACACGCACACGCACACGCACACGCACACGCACACACACACACAGTCACAAGCACGCACGCACGCACGCACACACACACACAACACATATGTACGCTCGAAAACACACACACACACACATGTACGCACGAAAACACACACACGCCCGCGCGCGCGCTTACATGCACACACGTATAGGCACACGCGCATGCCGCTACTGACGCACGCACATACGCGCACGCATACACGCATCCCCGTAGCAGGCATGCAAGTTTATTCGAAAATCTAGGGGGGCAGCTTCTCCTTGCTCTACACTCCCTTCTCCGCCCACCGCGCCTAGTCCATCACCTTGCTCTATCGCCGATTCCCAAACTACTACAGGATCAAACCATCGCTACAGCATCTTCTCTGCTTTCCTGACCACCAGCATCCGCCCTCCTCTACCCCGGTGTTGCTTGCGTGGTCTACGCTTGACACTAACGCACATTTCTTGGGGGTCCAGCAGGGACGTGCGGGGTGATTCCCACATTGAAATAACCTGACCGGCAGCTCCCACCACACTACGAATAGGAACCGGAACTCTAGTTCGGGGCCATCGGCAGCTTCCGGAACACCAAGATGAAGCTGCACGCACAAATAAAGGAAGCCAAACTCGGGTGTGGTGGTAACGACGAATACGGACGCCATAATATTATACAATTATTATATAACAGTTAGATAATTATTAAAATCACTACAATACATTTACAGATCAATTATACAGAATGAGAACACACTGTATATAATATGCACAAAAAGAATCACACATAAATACTTCCCACTATGGCCAGGTCATTCCTTTGTAGTTCCTGTGCTGCCACATTCACCTCCCGCAGGCACCAGGAACGCCTGTTCATATGCGAGCTCAAGCTCGAGCTCTCTCTCGCATGCTATATTGAGGGAGGCGACACAGCGCGGAGTGGCTCATACCTTCACAAATCTACTTTGTTCACGCATAGCTGTGCACATCATCCAAATTTTTCTCATGATTTTCACTGATCAATACCTGCAAAATCTCATGCTCATACAACGGCAATCATAAGCTTTAAGAGTGCTGACTCTGCTACCTGTCAAGTTGCTACGAATTACTTGCACATCCAACAACGATGCCATATCTAACTGACCTGTTTAAATCGTGAGTGCATGTCAAAAACTACGATCCTTTAAAAGTAAATAGTCGTCTCCCTATGTTATCATAGAACTTCAGATATCTGATTGGTGGCCAAAAGCTATATCCTGGCTACTTAACGCGATTACCACACAATGAGCAGTCATAATGCTAATATGCTTTTTTGACCAAAAATATAAATAACAAATGTACATGTATCTGCACTTTCTGTTTTCAGCATTTTACATATGCATCGTGTCTATACTTTGACACAGCTGAAACTCTAGTGCCTCTACCTGCTTCCGCAACTCTTCCACCTTTAGCTGGGCGAGAGAAAAGTCTGCCGGAAGGCTATGATAGTTCTCCAGCTTTTTCTTTAGTGGTCCAATCTTTGACTGTAAATCTGCTAGTTCTTGTGCCTGGCTCACGAGGGCACCATGGTGAACAGACGAATCAACACCAGCCTGCAAATGGTAGCAGTGGATAAATGCTATGTTGTGCCCTTAATGTTGTGCCGTTAATTCCTTAATGTTTCAGGCTCTCTATACTGTAGATTATATAGTCAGGCATGTATTTCAGGGATGACACAAACCTCTGCAAGTTTGAATTCTTGCTGTTGAATCTGCGATTCGTATTCGTTACATTTCATTCGAAGAAACTGTGTGTTCTTCTCCTGCTTCCTAGTTGTAGTTGCGTGTGATTTCTCCAGTTCTCTTGCCTTGTCCAGCGCTCTGAAACACGCATCTGACTATGAATATCATTACTTGAAACCTACGCTATCATCCACCTATCTATTTCTGCAATTCCCAGTTGCTGGGTTTTCCCGTTTCGGTGAGGGACATCTTTTGGAAGCACTTACTGGGTCACGTCGTTTAGTTTGTGAAGGGCTTGCGTGGTGTTGCGCAATAAGCTGGCCGACATCCTGTGCTCTGTGGTTCTGTCCTTGTCTGTGACTTTTATCACCTCTGCCAAGTCACCGAGCCCCAGTAGGTAACTGCAACAAACAGTCACTTAAATAGATGCAATACAAAACATGCTAGGTTATGTTCAAATGACTCATATCACAAATTGGGAGTTTCGTATATATTGTCATAAATAGTCATATAACAGTGCAGTCTTCTAGCATCTCTATAAGTACATAAATACATTTTTGTATATTTTGCATGCAATTTTTCCCAAACATGTCTCACCTAGATGTTGATATATCCTTCAGTTCTAGCAGTGAAGCGAGTGTGGCAAGCCCTTGTATCATTGTCGTCGCTTGCTGTGGGAACTTTGTAGCTTCTATACCCGTCTTTTGTAATACGTGTTTCACACGAGAAGCTGGCGCATGAAAAATATTGCAACTATTTCAATGTCTGGATGGATAAATCACACTGTGTATGTACCAGGTGATACAAAATCATCTTACTTCAATCATCAAACATTTAATAGAGCTGGAACATACTAGAAGGCAGCCATGTAGACGCTAAGAGATAGCTCGATAAAACAGTGGTGCTCCCAGCCTCCCACGCACAGACATTGGTATTGGTAAGGGGAAAATGGACTCTTAATTTATGCTGCTATTCTATAAAGGATGATGGGAAGCTAAAATTACTAGTATACATTATCATAATATCAAGAGCGTATAACGAAGGAGAGCGTACAATGGTGAAATGCTGAAACCATGTTGCAGTATTAGTCTAATTAATAAACTTTTCCCGTTTTATTTTGACGATTATTCGTATTAGTATTAGTATTACTGATCAGCTGTCCTACCTTGTTAATATAAAACAAACCGCATGTCCCTACGATGCCCCTACGCTGAGATAAGGAGCGGTGAAAATCTGGTATTTTCGCCGAAAACCGACTCGAGATCAGTGTTTACTGCGACGGTCTCTCGCTTTGAAATAACTTCGAGAAACCTCTCGTGTTTCCGTCAATGATTGACAAATGGAATGAATGACGTCTGTTATTGATTGCCATAGTGATGACCCCCACCTGTGCCCACTTCACGCTGGATGTATAGTAATCTCTGTAGTACTGACGTGAGTCGGCGCTACCATGGCGCTGTGTAGCAGGGAAAAAAATACAATTTATTTTTCGGGGGCTACTTTTCAAGCTCGCGTGCATGAAAATAGCACTCTAAAATTTGGTTTGCATTGAACTCTATGCAAATTTACGGGGGCTCTTTTTGGCATTTCCGGGGCTCTTTTTGGCATTTCGGGGGCTAAATCGCCCCGAGCCCCCGTGTATTTTTTCCACTGCTGTGTAGCGGCGACCGGAAGCATTACACTGGCCACAAAGCAAGAGACAGTCGCAGTAAACACTGATCTCGAGTCGGTTTTCGGCGAAAATACCAGATTTTCACCGCTCATTATCTCAGCGTAGGAGCATCGTAGGGACAAGCGGTTTGTTTTATATTAACAAGGTAGGACAGCTGATCAATAATACAGCAAAGAATCGTCAAAATAAAACGGGCAAAGCTTCTTAATTCGATTAATACTGCAACATGGTTTCACCATTTCACCGTTGTACGCTCTCCTTGTTTATACGCTCTTGATATAATGTGCTTGTTTTTAAAGTTATCTATATTGGCCAATTTTCTTTCGCCTTAGCCGCGCGGAAGATGCTACAGATATAGGAGCAATTGTGTATAAGTGCGTATGAGCGCAGTCATGGCGCGCGCTGGGCCGAATAAATCCACATCATTTCACCTGGATTCGTTCACTTTGTCTTTGATGAAACATGAGGAACTGCAAGAATATTTACATGACTTCGAAATACCAGATTTTGGTAGGCACATAAAAAATTCTTTCGCGCACACGCTTTCTCTCTCTCTCTCTCTCGCTTTCTCTTTCCCTCTCTGTCTGTCCCAATTGCTCGATCTCTATGGCTCTCTCTCTCTTGTGCATGTGCTCGGGCGTTTGTTCGTTCGCGCGTGCTTGCGTGAAGGAGTGAGCATATGTACGTGCGTACGTACACGTGTGTACGTGCGTACGTACACGGGTGTGCATGCGTGTTCGTGTGTACGTGCGCATGTTCCATCAGCGGCAGGCTAATAACCAATGCGCGGCGCGCTCGCTGAACTGCATCTGTAAGCCAGCATTGTCAAATCAAAGAATCGTCAAAATAAAACGGGCAAAGTTTCTTAATTCGACTAATACTGCAACATGGTTTCACCATTTCATCGTTGTACGCTCTCCTTCTTTATACGCTCTTGATAATATGCTTGTTATACACGATAGTATATATGTACATCGAGCAGTGTTGCTCTTTCCCCAGCACACGGGGATTAAATTTTAAAACTGTTAGTGCAAGGTAATTGTATATCCCTTTAAGAAATTTTAGGTAACTAATAACATTTCCAATGAGATTTTAACAATGCAACGCATACCTTCAGCCTCATATTCCTTGGTCTTTTGCTCATAGTCTTGACACATAGAATTAATATTGGCATCATTCTGGAGATTAGTTACCATCATCTGATGCAGTATACTTAATGTTCTATCATTGATTTTATAATCCGGTACATCTTCCTTGCCAAGCACATCCTCTAGCCATCTTTGTACCTATATTATATACAAACAATTGGAATAATGTAAAATTTAGATGATACAGAACATTGCTTTCACTTAGTTACTATAATATTAATTTTAACTGTGAAGGAGTCCCCTGATCCGTGGCTCAAATTTTACCATGGCACTACTAACCACAATGAAATTGCAGGTGCCCTACCCTACCTGGTTAGCATCTGTCCCATCACATTCTCATTCATTTGTTAAGTAACTGCAAGATTAAAATGTATTGTAAATCCACCAGCCTCTATCTAAATCATTAAGGTCACTGCTCTGCAGTGAAATATAAGAAGTAAAACACAGGCTAAATTTAAAGGATTTTATCCACATGCGGAAATCCGAGTACTCCTTTAAATACAAAAATGTCTTAACCACACCAAATACCAGAACTGTGACATATGGCACAAATAGCTTTAGAACATTAGCTGCAAAGGTGTGGAACAGTCTGCCATAAAATGCCAGACAGACTGCTGTATGTTTTAACGAGTTTAAAATGTTTATCAAAAAATGGAATGGCTTTGCATGCAAATGTGCAATGTGCAAATGATCTTTTAATCTGCAGTAAGTTTTTAGTAAATTTTGCCAGATAGCAACATCTGTAAATGTTGCTATAAATTGTAAATATCCATGTATTATACCTAAAATTTATTCATGTACTCGAATGCCTGTATAGAGGGTTCCGCGATTTGGTCTAAAAATAGCAATATTACCTACAATC